AATTAATAATTGACTTTGGAATGTAGTCAGAAGGACATCATCAGACACACATCCTCTATGTGCACAAACATTCTTAGGTGCTTGCCTCCTATGATCTCAGCTCAGGGCCTTCCTGACATGGCTCTTAGAATCTTCTAGACTTGGCCTTGTTGTTAGAAGCTTGGCACCCAGATGAGAGAAAGAGGCTGCAGAATATTTTTAATGACAATTTTTCAACTTAAGAAGCTATCTCTCTTATAAGTTCTCAACAAACAGATTTATATATATAACAGTTCTGTACTTCAACAAAAATTTGTAAGTTTAGTTTCATATATATCTGGTTAATAGGAGGTAATGAATGAGGTATGCCCCTGGCTGTTGCTCCCATCAGGCCATAGTGTTCATCTGGCAGACTCTCAGGGAGTAGGTACTTCCTTGTGTTTTATATTGTAGTAAAATGTGTATGTATATATGTGTGTGTAGCAATTATCCCAAAACTAACTAGCCATAATTTACTTTGCTTTTTTTGTTTCTTTGTTTTCTCAGATAGGGTGTCATTCTGTCACCCAGGCTGGAGTGCAGTGGCACAGACACAGCCCACTGCAGCCTTGACCTCATGGGGGTCAAGCGATCTGCCCACCTCAGTCCCCCCAAGTAGCTGGGACCACAAGCACAGGGCACCATGCCAAGCTAATGTTTAAATTTTTTTGTAGAGACAGGGTTTTGCCATGTTGCCTACAGTATTAAAGGCATTCCTGGGCCAGGTGTGGTGGCTCACGCCTGTAATCCCAGCACCATGGGAGGCTAAGGTGGAAGGATCACTTGAGCCCAGGAGTTTGAGACCAGCCTGGGCAACATAGTGAGACCCTAAGGAAAAAAGGTATTCCTGGAGCTCGTGGTTTTGCCTGTTTGTTTTTGTTTTATTAAAAAACTTTTACATTTTGTTCATTGGAAAGAGTCTATTGGACTTTTAAATGTTTTTTCCCCTTTTATTCCTTTCATATTAGTAATTACAGTAGATTTAATAAAATGTTATAAATGAGTAATATCCTGTTAGGAACCACAATTGGCAGCAGGGTATTGTTAGAGAAGAGTGTGAGAATGATGTTTCATTAAATTTATGTAGAAATTTTCTTCCAAGAAGCTTAAAATGATTCACGATTCTTGGAGCCAGGTAAGAACAGGTGATATTAACTCTATTTTACAGAAAAGGAAATATACTGGGAAAGAGAAAGAAAGGAAATCATCTAAGAACAAAGTTGCCCAGAGACTGAACCAGTCTGGTTTGCAAGAGATAGGAAAGTAATCAATTTTTAAGGAATCTGAAGATGTGGATTTCTCAAGGGTCAATTCTACTGAATGGAAATCCTAAAGGCCTTTTCCTGTTTCCCTGAGGACTCATATTCTCCTTTCCTGTTTTATTTTTCTTTACAAAATTATTGACGTGACATACTATAATGTTTTAGTTTTGTAGTTGTCTATCTCCCCTCTGTAGAATATGAGTTCCGTGAAAGCAGGGATTTTTGTCTCCTTTGTTCAAAGTTGTATCCCTGAGAATGGTGCCTAAGTATACTTAGTGCCTGGACATGGTGGGTACTCAGTAAATATTTCTTAATGAATATAAGGAATATTATGGTACTCAGTAACTCTGATGGCTAGGAGATCACTCTAGAATAAAACATGCTTACACATTTTTAAAAATACGTTGTAAAGTGGATTATTTTGAGTGTGTGTGGCTTGATATAGTAGGCTATGTTCCTGTATTATTCTGACTTACCAACAGCCTAGTGTCTTCTCGTTACTTCAAAATTATAAATATGACTATAATCAGTATGTTTAAGGTGTTTCTTTACACAGGATTTAAAATTTTTTTCTTTAGTTTGATGGCTTAACCCTTGCTGTTGAGGATATTCTGGTTTTCCAAGAAAGATTTATTCAGGTCCTGATTTTAAACCTTTGGTTTTAAGATATTAGTGTGCATCCAAAGGACCTTACCTTCTTAGTACTTAAATTTGTGATTATCAATTCTGTAGATATCCTAGAGCATGGTTTTTAATCTTGTTTGTGTGTGACACAGGCCCCTTTGAGAATGTGATCATCATTTTAGACCATAGGCACAAAATACACACAAACGCTTTACATAAACAAGTTTGCATAAAATCTCAGTGAGTTGAGAGAGTCTCTGAGACACATCTAGAGATCTAAGGACTCCAGATGAGGCCGGGCGCAGTGGCTCATGCCTGTAATCCCAGCACTTTGGGAGGCCGAGGCAGGTGGATCACAAGGTCAAGAGATCGAGACCATCCTGGTCAACATGGTGAAACCCCATCTCTACTAAAAGTACAAAAAATTAGCTGGGCATAGTGGCACGTGCCTGTAATCCCAGCTACTCAGGGGGCTGAGGCAGGAGAATTGCCTGAACCCAAGAGGCAGAGGCTGCAGTGAGCCGAGATTGCGCCATTGCACTCCAGCCTGGGTAACAAGAGCAAAACTCTGTCTCAAAAAACAAAACAAAACAAAACAAAAAAAAAGGACTCCAGATGAAGAGCAACTATCCTAACATAATCCCAATTATTTAGAGAAATTACACCAAATTCTCAAAACTAATTTACCCTCAGTTTACTTAATTTGAAAAGTACTTATATATATTACTTGAAGTAAGACAGACAACAATATTATGATGTAGTTATAAGAAAGTGGCCTGATTTTAGATGAAGGGATGCCAGAAGTAAAAACTGATGCCTGACAAAGATCTTCTTAGTGTAGTAAAGGAATTCTGCTCTCCAAATGTGAAATAAAACTGCATCCACTCAAGAAATGCTTACAACCCCTTCAGCATGGCAGTTTCACTGAAAGGGGCTTAAGAATAAAGGATATTTTACTTACATGTTTTGATATTAGTAGAATCATTGTGGCTCTATGTGTCTATTTAGTTACTACATTCGGATAACTGAGGGTATGAAACTTTAATTTTGTTTTCTCCCTGTGGCTTTAGTTCCCACTCTTTAAGCTCCATTGCTTTCCGGAGGGCAGGGTTCTTTAAGGCCCTTAAATTTCTATTTGCTCTAATGGAAAACTTTATATATTTTTTAAAGCCAAGATTTGTTGTCGCTTGCTTGTTTTTGAATAACAGATAAGCTACTTTACATATTCATACTTTTTAGCTGGTTTCTAACTTGACAGTTCATGGATAAATTTTATTTTGTTCTGTACTTTGTAATATGTTGGAGTCTATGTTTAATTTACAAATTTGAAAACACCAAAGCAACAAAAATTATTTAAAAATGAAGGTTTTTAAAAAATTGTAAGTACAAAGGCCTGGCTCATTATTCCTCAAGGTAGGAAGTTAGACTACCGTATTTAGAAATTCTCATATCTAGGCCAGGTGCAGTGGCTCACGCCTGTAATCCTAGCACTTTGGGAGAACGAGGCAGGCAGATCATTTGAGGTCAGGAGTTTGAGACCAATTAGAAAAGTAGGTGGGTATGGTAGCACACACCTGTAGTCCTAGCTACTTGGGAGGCTGAGGCACGAGAATGGCTTGAATCTGGGAGGCAGAGGTTACAGTGAGCCAAGATTGTGCCACTGCACTCCCACCCGGGTGACAGAATAAGATCCTGTCTTGAAAAAAAAAAGTAAAGAAAGAAATTCCAATCTCTGAATCTAAAGCAGAGGTAGTTATTTGAGATGGCAGCATAATCTTCAAGACTCCTGTTTGTTGTTGTTGCTTTAAATCTAGAATACTGGGTCATGATGGAAATTGACTATAATACAACTGTAATTTTAAATAGCACATTAAATTATTATGTACCTTTCACTTTTGTGCATGCTAGTATATCAAAAAGGTATTGTTGTACATATATAAATGTATGACATTTGAGAAACACTGTTGGTATTTTACTTCTGTAGAATAATTTGGACAAGACTAAAGGCCTTGTGTTTTAAGTCTAATTTTGCTATTTCCTCAAAAAAAAAAAAAAAAGCAATTATAGATTTTTTTTCATTTTTTCTCCCGAACCATTTTCTACAGTCTTATGTATTATCTACTCTAAAACAACAAAAAACATCTTTTAAATGACCCAGGCTTTGTGTTCTTTCATTTTAATATCTTCTAATTAGAATGATATTGATGATCTGGCTTTACAATTCTTGTAGTCAAATTTCTTTAACTTTTGAAGGACTGTATTGGCCCTATATTGGAATTAAGTCCTATTTAGTTTTCCATTTCTAGAATAAAATACAGTTTTGATGAAGGGGAGGGAAGAGTAGTAGGATATTCCATTTGTGAAATATAATCATCAAATTTCAAGCTAGAAAAAACAACCAGTCCAGTCTTCTCAGTTTATATATGAAAAAATAAACTCAGATTAGTGCTTATCAAAGAATTCCAATCTGCTGCTATATCTTACTGGCCAATATTTTTAGCATAGTTTATTTATTTATTATAAACCTTTTGGGGTCACTACAGGGAATTAAAAAGCAGGTATCAGCAGAGATTTCCCCCTGAAGATTCCATGAAAAAGATATAGACTGCCACAGGGTCTCTTACCTCTTTGATCCCAGTTAGCTACATGGCGTACTTTAAAACAAGGGAACAAACAGAAAATACCTCACTGCAGTTTAGCAATACTTTATGCACTGTGTGTGTCATTTATTCTGCTACAGAATCACTGCACATCAGGTGGTCTGTAGTCCTGGATCTTCTCAGAGCAGTATCTCCTCTTTATAACATCTAGGCTGAGAATCTTACCAAGACTGGAAGGTGCACTGTATTCCCTAGATGCCTTATAAATTCTGTGACAGATACTATAGTAATTCAAAGAACAACACCTTAGCCTAGTCCAACCGAGGAGAATCAACTTAAACAGCAGGAGGCAATATGTGTTGAATGCCAGATGAGAGGTGTAGGCATAAATACATCAGAGTAAAGATTTCCTTCCTTCCCTCCCTCCCTCCCTCCCTCCCTCCTTCTTTCCTTCCTTCCTGCCTACCTGCCTGCCTGCGGGGGTGGGGGGGGGGGGGGGCTGGTCATTAGAGACAGGGTCTGTCTCTGTCACCCAGACTGTAGTGCAGTGGCACCATCAGAGCTTACTATAACCTTGAATACCTGGGCTCAAGCCATCCTCCCACTTCTGCCTCCCAAACTCTGGGATTATAGGCATGATACTGTTCCTGGCCTAGAGTGTTGATTTTCATTTTTTCAGGAGTCATTCAAATGACTGTGATAATTCTGTCTTAGATTCCCTATGATTAAAGAAAAAACAAATGAAAAAATATTACATTTTAACCCAGGCAACTTCAGTTATCTTAAAGCTAGAGAACTACTACAACCCAGTTATACCTTCTAACTTTTTACTGTTATCAGTTAATTATAGGTTGTTACATTCCTGTATGTATAATACTCATCTTTAGCATTTTCTTTAGAAGTCTAGAATGACTAGACATCATGGCTTTCTTTTCAGATTGCAAACTGACTTTCTAAAATGTGCCAATCAGTCCCTGTTAAATTATAGTTTAAACAATAAATTTAGCTTTAAACGGAATTCAACACATTGGAAGTTTTGTTTGAATTTATCTCAACTAGCTTGATTTTAATTCTTCACAAACTACATTCCATAAGGGAAGAAATAAATACTAAAACCCTTTATGTAGAAGGTGAATATTTGAATATCATCTCTATTTAACAAAATTTGTTTCTAGTACCTTTTTTTTATTGTTGACTGCAGTCATAAATGTGTGTTATTCCTGTTCCCTAAAATGTGTTGGTTTTAGTATAATATGAGGCATATGGAGAACCATTTAAGAAGAATGTATCCATCCACTATGACATTAGGTTATTTTCTACTCTAAAGTTAGTAAACTCTATATGGCATACATCAAACATTTAAAAATTATCATTAGTGAGTCTTTGGGATTACTGAGTTGCCCCCTTGGGGTATATGAAAAGTCCATAGGCAACTTATGATCATTTTAAGTAAAAGCAAGTCACCTTAATCTTTTAGGGAGAACCAAATAATCTTTAAGATCCTTTCCAGCTCTAAACTTTTAAAGTTTATGCTTATTCTAGAAATAGATTTCATATATTAAAGAGACGTGCATCTTGCCTATTTAGTTATTTTTCTTTGTCCTTAGTTGTTGGACATCAAAAGTAAAATTTGGTAGGTGATAGAAAAAAAAATCTGACTAAATTAAAGTCTCACAATAAATTGGTAGCAGAACTAAGCATGAGAATCAGTTGTACTCCCAGCCTTCTGGTCCTGTACTGTCTTTATATTCCACTTAACACACACACAAAGGAGCCTTTCTCTGGAGCTCTATATTTTAAAATATCTGTAGTGGATTGAAGACCCTGATTGTAAGTCCTTCATCAAGGCTGTCCCAATGATCAGGGCACACTGACTTCAATCACTAACCTGCACCTAAGTTGGATCTAACCTTTGGAAAAGCCTGAAAGAGCCAGAGGCAACCTAGAACCAGTCTGGGCCATGAAAGTGAAAGGAGTAGTATGCTTCTGATCCTAAGTGCTCTGTGAAGTGAATTATTAGAGGTAAGTTGAATAATTGTACTAAAAATAAGATTTCGGAGCAGCTGGTGGGTGTTCACCCATGGGGTGAGGGGGATAGAGCTCTAGTATGTAAGCATCTGGAGGCATCTGGGAGGAGTGGAAATGGGGCCATCTGATTAGTAACTATGCCTTGTTATTAAACCGTGACTTTCTGCATTGTGTATTCCCAGAGTTGGAAAACTTCCGCTGGCAAAAAAAAAAAAAGGGGCTGCCGTGCTGTTGCTGAGGGCCATACAGTAGACACAAAAGCGCCTTCTTAGAGGCCTTCAGCAGAGGCAGCTTGTACAGGCAGGCCTGTTCCTCTCAAAGACTGGGAATCAGATTCTTTCCCCAGGGGGTTTCCAACTAGTTTGCACTTCAGAAAAACCTTTTCTTTCTCCTGCTGTTCACGCCCTGCAAAGAATTTTCTTCCAACCAAAGAAATTGTTTTATAATCAGAGATCCTTGTCCTTAGTTGTTGGACATCAAAGAAAGTTTGGAGGAGTCTGGGGGATTAAATGAGTGCCTAGAATTTATTTTGAATACAAACTTGCAACATTAGCAAGTCCCCCAAAGAATATACTCATCTCAGAGCTGGGCGAGAGCCTAATATAAGTAAGTCTTTCTTCTTCCTCGGTTGGATGTGCCCCAGTAAGATACAAATGAGTTGAACTGCCTTATCTGGACTTAATTCATGTATGTTTGGTTCTTGAGGTACACACCTACTGGAAGAGGTCCCCTAACCTATCTTCCTTTTTAAAAACTGATATTTGGAAACATCAAACACTATTAATACACTTGAAGCAACAACCAAAAAAAAAAACCAGTAAACAAAACCCTTTTTAAACTAATGTTTGACTCTTGGGAGTTTGGGGTTTCTCCCAGGACAGTTGATGATATCACCAAATGTTGGGAGCCACATTCCCTGCATTCCCTACTGTCACTGAGGTGTTGATGATGTCATTTTCTCCCACAAAGGAAAACCTCAGCACCCTGAGGGCCTGAACTCAGGTCTTGGCAGGTAAATCAAGGAAGAACTTATTTTTGGATTTCAACTGATTGAGTCAGGCATAAAGAGACACAACCACCACGTTAAGTATTAGCATCACAGCCTCATCTCTAGGGCCTGAATAGACAATTTATCATTTGAAGGAAATTAAGACTATAACTTTAAGAAATTATCTTCTGGGTAAGAACAATGATTCATGTAATATTTTGGTTCTTACACTTTGGGACATTTATAGGGCATTGTTCTCAGAGATTTTGGCCCCGTCCTTCTCTGAATCCACAAATTTTCCAAGCCCCTCTGGAACCTGTTTGTAGATTATCTAGCTTTCCTTCCTCAAGCAGATTAACAACGTAAATAAGAATTAGGGGGGAAAATGATGGATAGGGCAGATTTAGGCAGAATTATGCCTTTGGCAAAGTACATTCTTGTTATTTTATCTTGGTTCTGTGGTTATGAACTGAAGAGAGCATTTGCTCTAGAAGATTTCCAATCTCTTCTCATCCCTTCATCACAACCACAGAGTAGTGGTTGGAAATAGGTTCCAGGAACACCAAAAATGCTCAGTATTTTCAATGGTATCAGCTAACAGTGTCCCAACAGGGATTCTTTGAGCACTCTTCCTCTGAGCCTTCTTGTGGTGTCCTTGTGGTCAGGAGACATATCATCAATCACAAAGACTTGCCCTGGAGACAAACCTGGTGAAAAATATCAGTTATCTGTCTTCACCACTAGAAAAAATCCTTTTTTTTTCACTGGTTCTGAACAAACATGCTATATAGTTTTTTAGAGAAAGATCATCTCTTTCATGGAATCATCAACTGACCACTCTCAAAATTTGAGATGCACTAGTTTGTACTAGGAAGGTAAGGTAGGATCTGTGAGGTAAGTAGGATTTACCAAAGGTTTTTATTCTACTCAGCAGTGCTAATTTACCTGTGTTGCTCCTATACAGGTATTATATTATAGGTTTTTTTTTTGTTTTTGTTTTACAGTAGGAATATATGGATAAAATTCACTGAAATGAAAGTGTCCCTTTAGCTTATATAGGGAAATAGGGAATTGAATTTGTAAGGAAGGAGCCCAGCCTGTACCTGACCTTTCATTTTCATAGTCTTTTTTTCTCCTGAGTTGATGTAGGCTTAAAGCAAATGAATGTATTATATAAAATGCCCTAGTTTTTCAAGCAGTGTCAATCTTCAGAGTATGGAATAGGATTTGGCATTTTGTTTCAATTTTTATTGTTTTGTTTTCTAAAGGGAGGTTTGAGTTAGAGCCTGTCTGGCAAGATTCCATACTGCTACCATACCACCTGTCCTGGCAGAGACAATGGAATCAAAAGTCAAGTTCTTTATGACTGCACCTGCCTTGTAAGTGCTGCCAGAAGATCTGATTTTCTCTTGTAGCTAAACTTTATGCAGAAACTAGTGGTTGGCACCCAAACACTTGGATATCCCAACATCAAGAGGACTAGTACCACTAGTTCTCCAGCTGACTTACAAAGTAGTGTTTAGCATAATATTCAATGATTATTTATCAAATGGAGGAGAAGTAACTTTCTGGTTTACCTAGTTTTCAAGACTTTTGTGAGGATCTATTAATAAACATGAATCATTTGGTAATTATTATTTGAAAACTGCCTGTGTAGTTCTGCATCTAGAGAGCATGAAAGAGTATATTCTCCCCCAAAGAGATCAGGCACATATCTCTGAAGTCAGACCACTATGCAAAGTTCCTAAGGTGAGAAGCTGCTGTTTCTCCTGTTGCTTTTTTGTTTCCCCAGAAATGTAGGTTACCCTACAGTCACCAGTTGAATGCTCTGTGATTAGGCAGTTGTTTTGTAGGCAATTGTCAGATTGCCTACAAAACAACTGCCTAATCACAGAGCATTGCCTTGATGAGAACTTTTTCCTTATGAATTATCGGAGTGTTTCTTGGGTTCCCTCAGGGCAGAGTTGCTTCATTATCTTCTAACTTATGTATAACTGGACACCTTCTGGCCTAAGAACATAATTTCTATCACCAATCAAATAATTAAGATAATATACCCACCAAATGGTGCTCTTTGCACAGAATTCTTTTATAATGATATAATATGATAATAAAGTATAAAAGGTATTCTAAAATGAGGAGCAGCATCCTACAGTGAAAAGTGCTCTCAGTAGACTTGTATTTTAATCTCAGCACAGATCCTTCTTAGCTTTATGATCTAAAGGAAAATTGCTTAACCTCTTTGAGCTTGTGGCTCCCTGAGTAAAATGGGGATAATAGTAATAAATGGCCTGACTACCTGAAATGAAATAATATATGAGTGTTGTCTTTGAAAATAGCAAATTAAGGTATTACTAACAGTAATTAAACTTGAGCTACTCCTTATTCACCTAATTACTATCACAAATATTACTAAGTGTGAAGGTTATTGATTTAGGCTCAGTTAACCTATTTGCATTCAATTTGACATCAGCCTAACATAACTAAGCAAGACTGTATTTTTAGTGTAGCTACAAGGACAAGGCTTTAGCTTCAAAATTTTGTGGGTCAAGGGTGCTGATTAAATACTACCACAGTGTAGTACAGGTAGCCTTAGTGGTTTAGAGAATGACTACTAGTGTATGAGTTCTGTCGGGGGAACTTAAGACCTGTTACTGCTTTGCTTGTGGTACGGTGAATCACTTCTCTGCCCTGGACCTTTGTACATGTGCCTGTTCAATACTGGTAACCCCTCATTAGATTCCTTCCATGATCAATGACACAAAACAGCTGCTTTCTAAGTTTTTACTTATCAGAATCTGAGGGACCCTAGAACCACATTATAATATCCCTATTATATCTTCCCTTTTGGAAATTTTAGAGTATTTTTTAGAACTGCTGCTACTGGCTGGGCACGGTGGCTCACACCTGTAATCCTAGCACTTTGGGAGGCTGAGATGGGCAGATCATCTGAGGTCAAGAGTTAGAGACCAGGAGTTAGAGACCAGGCTGACCAACGTGGTGAAACCCCATCTCTACTAAAAATACAAAAATTAGCCTGGTGTGGTGGCACATATTATGTCATTATAAAAGTAGCTGAGTAATCCCAGCTACTCAGGAGGCTGAGGCAGGAGAATCGCTTGAACCCAGGAGGCAGAGGTTGCAGTGAGCCAAGATCACGCCCCTGCACTCCAGCCTGGGTGACAGAGTGAGACTTTGTCTCAAGACAAAAAAAATTGCTGCTACTCTGGGATGGTTGCTCAGGATGCAGCTTCTGGTGTGTAGCTTGCAGTCATGTTTCTAAAGACCAGAAGGGAAGGAGTTGAGGGTGGGGGACTAATTTACCCAGTTCATTATACTCTGCTGGTCCCAACATGTTTTTTGAAACTTAGCAGATACGATTCTATTGCCTGCTTGGAAATTATCCCACAAGTCTCTGAGACTCCAAGTTCCCTATCTGAGAAGAATTGGATCAAAGTAAGAATAAGCAGAGTTTTCATCATAGCATCTATCAAATATTTGTGTCCCTAAAAAATTTTCAGGTAAAGACCACCCTTTGAGCCTTCTCAGAGACTACTAGTCTGCAGTATGAAAAAAATCTGTATTCAGTGTTTTGTAACTTTGCCAATTTGAAGTCTCTTCCCAAAATAAGTAAATAATGGGATAAAGGTAATTATGGGTTTCCTCTTCTTTTCTACTTACCTGTTCCCTGTTATGATTAAATACACACAGCTTATAACTCTTTTGGAAACAAACCGAAATACCATTATTATCCTTTCAACACTTGCATGGTATTATAATTCATTTCAATCACCAGTACAACACAGTGTTTGTTAGGAGACCAGTGGGGTGTGGGAGGGGGAGGACCAGGAGAGGAGCAGACATTTTCCTTTTTATTGGCTTTGGGAAGCCTCCTTCCTCTCCCAAGGCACTTCTTGGGGAAAACTGTTTTCTTCCCAAAGCCTAATAAAGATTAGTAAGAGACCTCTGCAAAGAATTAGAAGCTCTTTAAAATAAAGGCATGGATAACCATTCAATATCACTGTTATTATCATTAAAAAGGAAAGCCCAGCATGTGATGTTTTGGGTCACTTCCAGCGGCCTTGTTTGATGTTCACGGTTCCTTTTTTGACCTTTACTTCTTGATATCTTTATATATTTATTGAGGCTATTGGACAAAGTCTTGAGATACTAAGCAATACAGTGAATGATTGCTAGACTCCATTTTTATGGGTTGAATTTGTTAAAATGTGTTTTTGTCTTTAAACAACGAGATACCTCGTTCCAGTTTGGCAATATTGGTGGCAAGGTTAATTTAATACCTGGTCACTTTTTAGTTTTTATTTCCTATTCTGTACCTTACCCAGACCTAAAGTTCTATAGGATACTTTTCATTAAATAAATCATAATTAACTGGATTTTTTTCTGTACTATGCTTATTAACCAGAGATACATCAAAAAAGAAGCAGATCCAATTGACCTAAAAAACAAATAAGAACTTCCCAGGGACGTTGTAAGTTTATCCCAGTCTCTTATACTTTAGTATGTAAATTATCTCATGCCAAAAATGACCATAATGATGTCCTCGTAGTGTTATAAGACATGAAGTAAAAGCTTCCTTTTGTTTGACATGATGTATTTAGGCAGAAAAGTGTACCAATACATTTAAAAAAAGATTTTAACAGTGCAGATTGAATTTATAAGGACTTCCTTGTCTTCAGAAAGGTAAATAAATCACTGTCACCCTAAAAGGAAGAAGCTGAGGCAAAATTAATATAAGTAGAGAGTTTATTTGAACCAGGTTGAAGGATTACAACTGCGGAGCCTAGATTCAAGTTGCCCTGAATATACACTGATTGGCGGCAGTTACAAGTGGATTTTGAAAGGCAAAAAAGAGGGATAGGGAGTGGGGCTGATACAAAGTTGTTTGTCAGAAATTCTCATTGGTTTACAGAAATAACATTGATTAGTAATGGCTATTCATTGTTAAGCTACAGGGTATGGGTTATAGTGTCTGGTGTGGCATTATTAGATTAAGTTATAGCTACTTGTGGCAATAGCAAGCAGTTTCAAGAGATGAATAACATAGCCCAAAGCAGGGAGTAGGACTTGATTGCAGTCTCATTGTAATGTCTCTCTGGGCCTGATAATTAAAAGGAATTACATTCTTCACATAAAAGCTATTTTCTTTTCTCATCACAAACTTTTCTTTTCTTTTTTTTTTTTGAGATGGAGTTTCACCCTTGTCACCCAGGCTGGAATGCAATGGCGCAATCTTAGCTCACTGCAACCTCTCAGGTTCAAGTGATTCTTCTGCCTCAGCCTCCTGAGTAGCTGGGATTACAGGCACCCACCACCATGTCAAGCTTATTTTGATATTTTTTGGTAGAGACAGGGTTTCACCATGTTGGCCTGGCTGGTCTCAAACTCCTGACCTCAGGTGATCCTCCTGCCTTGGCTTCCCAAAGTTCTGAGATTAAAGGTGTGGGCCACCATGCTGAGCCACAAACTTTTATTATTATTTAATGACCTGTGTTAATCAGAATATCCTATTCCATAACTGGCAATTGTATTTGAGAATTAGGTAGAATTATCTCTTTTTCTTTTAATATTTCTGGTCTTTTGAGTGTGTAGGGTTGCTCTGTTTCATAAAAAAGGGCACAATTTCATAATCCTAGTTGATGAATCGTTTCACATTTTAAATGGTTATCTTATAATAAAGTTTGCTTGTACATACACACTTATTTTTCTCCCTCTAGGTTTTCAGGTTTTTTTCCCCCAATTTCTACCCTGATTTCTGCATTCCTACACACACAGATTTTTTTTTTTTAATTTCTAAGCTTAACTCTCATCAAATAAAGGTAAGCTAGAAAATCAAAACCCTGAATCTTTTCATCAGAACCAAAGGAACTCAGCAAGTTCTGAAGGAGATTGAAGTTGAAGATTGTGTATGTCATACCAACCACTGATAGAGAATTATTTGAAATTAACATCATATTTGATTTTATACAAAAGCAACTACCATGAAACTACTATGGTTTTGTGTGTGTGTGTGTGTGTGTGTGTGTGTGTGTGTGTGTATAAAGGATAAAAAAATGTTTGGGTTAGAATGAATATATCTATTGTATAGAAGATATATATTCCATATTGTATATATTCTCTAGAGAGAATATTCCAAATGCTTATTTTCAATTCTTTAGGGGAAGCTATTAACTCTAAACAAATCTCAGACCAGTCTCTAAAATTAGCTCCCTTTGGAGACCCTGAAGCCAAATTAAATATCTGGCCTTTGAAATTTTGCCTGTTGAGAGCATGGCCACATGTAAAATGGATAACCTTAGGACAGCACCCACTCTGTTTCTTTCTCCCTCAAGTCCCCGCTTCCACTCATAATTTCAGTTAATTGTACTTAGTAGTAAACAGTTAAGTCTAACCTCCTCACAGACTGACTTCTTTCCCTCTGTTTCAGCCTTGTCTAAATTCAGCATGTGGGATCTGAGTTGCTTTCTTTTTCCTGTTAAGTGGTTGCGTGTTCATCTCTCCTCACTTGTGTTGACTACCTTGACTCTTAAGAATTTTAATCTACATGATGGTCCTTCTGTTTTTTGTCTCTCATTTTCATTTTTGGGTTATTTAAAAATCCATGCCCACTGTCAAGTCAAATGTTTCTTCTATCAACAGTTGTTATCTCTGTATCCTCCATATTATGTTGGTCTTTTTTTTTTTTTTGAGACGGAGTTTCACTCTTGTTACCAAGGCTGGAGTGCAATGGCATGATCTCGGCTCACCGCAACCTCCGCCTCCCGGGTTCAGGCAATTCTCCTGCCTCAGCCTCCTGAGTAGCTGGGATTACAGGCACGCGCCACCATGCCCAGCTAATTTTTTGTATTTTCAGTAGAGACGGGGTTTCACCATGTTGACCAGGATGGTCTCGATCTCTTGACCTCGTGATCCACCCTCCTCGGCCTCCCAAAGTGCTGGATTACAAGCTTGAGCCACCACACCCGGCCATGTTGGTCTTTTTTAGGTTAGGATTTTGATGACCAGGCCTGTTGCCTCCTATGTCATATGCTACACTAGATTCACTGTCTACATTTCAATAAATGTTATAAAATAACCATCATTTTCTTGAATAAGCTGGTATATCGCTGCTTGTTCCTCTGGAGACAGTTTTCTGCAGGCTACATTAACAGGCAATGGAAATGCATGCCAGGCTACATGCTAACAGTTGTGTCTTTCCATCAGAAAAACATCCTTTTTTTCCCCTCCCTGTCAAATAAAGGCTTAGGTGTTAGAGACAATTGCAAAATACAGAAAATGAACAAGAAGAACTGAAATCACAGCATCTGTGGTTTTCTCTATCCTTAATAGTGAGGCAGCTTCTTAAGAGGATTTGATTGTAATATATTGATAAAATGTTTATAGTCATCCCTTTGCAGTTCGTTTTGAAAGTAGTTTCTGAGCAGCAGTTCCTGCATCATCTAGAAAACTTTTAGCTAGAGAAACCACATTTCTTTTTCTCAAGGTGCAAAACCAGTTTACTCTTTTTTTGAGTTTAACACCTGATCTTAATGGCGAGGGACTAAGTTACATGGTCTTTCTTCCAAAAGAATATTTCTCAGATTTTTGTGTTCTATAGCTTTCTGATTAAATTGCCTAATAATAGAACTATTTATTACTCACAGGGAATTCAGTCACAGAGAACTGTGTCTATCTAGGACTTCAAGTGTACATAATAATAAACTGTTCCTCATAAAGGGGTTGGGGTAACTTCATAGCCATTGCTATGGTAGTAGATTTGGATGCATCTGACTATGGAACCAGATCCCTGATCAGAAATAGTTGAGTTGTGTATACAATTAAAGCTAGGGAACTTATCATCACATAATATTGCCTTGTATTGACAATCATCCTTCCATTATCTTTGGGTAAGTAAGGCATGCTTAAGACAGACCATTTGGCTGTCTCAAAGCCATCGCCTTCTATTTTTTTCCCAAAGGAAATTCAGATCCTGTTTAATATTTGCTAGTTTTGCTAGGTACTGAAGGCAGAAAGAGGTTGTAGTGGTATCTTGTGAGGAAGGAAATCAGTGTTTCTTTTTCTTTTTTTTCCCAACAAACTGTACATGTTTAATGCCATGGAAATCAGTGTTTCTTATCCATTTTCCATATACTGTCAGTCTGTCCAAGCAGACTTATTATGTGGCAAACTGATAAGGAACTTTGTTTTCCTCTTGATATACTTGCCTGCACAGCACCATGTGCCACTTTGGAGAGCTCTGTGGTGGAGTTTCAACTCTCTAGATAAGATGGAATAGCTGAACCGTTGTGCCTCCATGGATTTTCACAACCCTGAAAGTAACGAGAGTTTGGGAGGATGAAAGAGGGCTATTTCCCACCCACCCTGAGAGTCCTTAAAGTTCAAAGCCACAGATTGTGTTTCAGTGGAGCCAAGGCATCTGGAGCAGCCCAGTTACTGGAGAGGTAACTATTGCAGGCACCCTTCCTGTTGCTATTCTCTAAAGTATTTATCTAGGTGGCCTTTGCCCTTCCCTGTGAATCTTCTCCTCAAGTCCCTCTACCCTTTTGTTGGCCTGCTTTGAACTTCTTGTGCGTTAATCTCTTTTACAAACTAAGATGTCTAAGCATAGGATAGGAAGTGCTCCAGGTGTACTCTCACCCATACTGTGTGAGGATTGTTGAACTATCTGGTTTCTCATATTTCAGAACTGCAGTGATAACTAAGTTCTTACTTTACTTGATTTCTTCTATTCCTCTAATAACTTTCTAAATTATTTCTCTTCATTTACATAATTATCTATGCTGTACTTTTCTTCATTATTCTATTTGATATCAAGTCATAGATACGCCAAAGGCATGTTGTCTTCTTTCCTAAGGCTATCTTCTAGAAGAGCATGTGGCCAGATTCTAAGAGATTCTCTGGAATTTCTTCTAAAATTCACCATCGACTGATAGGGTTTCCTTTTCTAGTTTTCCCTCTCAAGCTTAGCACTGACTTACATTCTTTCTTTCATTTCATTGCAGCCAAGATTTCTAATTGTGTCCTAAAAATTAAACTGAACTCTTGTCTTTCCTCAGGAGAGAAGGGTATCCCCCAGTAGACAGGAGTCTAGGGGATGTTGAGAGCGCTTCTCTGAAGCAACCCAACCACATGCAATTGTGTTTCTCTCTTCAGGGCATTGCCTAAGTAAAATGTACATGGGTTATGATCTGTTGTAGAAATCAATTACAGTGAATCTCAGATATCAAATTAGTCAGTTCCTTAACTACACTGTAATTAAAATAGTACAGTTGACTCTTGAACAACACTAGGTTGGGGCACTGACTTTCTGCACAGTCAAAAATCTACATATAACATGACACCCCTAAACCAATTGTTAATAGCCTACCGTTGACTAGAATACTTACTGATAACGTAACAGACTAACATATTTCGGATGTTATGTGTATTGTATACTGTGTTACAATAATATAAGTTAGAAAAAAGAAAATGTTACTAATAAAATCATAAGGAAGAGAATTTTTTTTTTTAAAGATGGAGTTTTGCTCTAGTTGCCCGGCTCAAGCGATTCTCCTGCCTCAGCCTCCCAAGTAGCTGGGACTACAGGCATCTGCCACCATGCCCAGCTAATTTTTGTATTTTTAGTAGAGATCGAGTTTCACCATGTTGGTAGCTGATCTTGAACTCCTGACCTCAGGTGATCCACCTGCCTCAGCCTCCCAAAGTGCTGGGATTACAGGCATGAGCCACCACGCCCACCCCGAGAAAATGTATTTACTATTCATTAAGTGAAAGTGGATCATCATAAAGGTCTTCATCCTCCTTGTCTTCACCTTACTAGGTTAGGGAGGAAGACAAGGGGTTTTCTTGCTCTTTCAGGGGTGGCAGAGGCAGAGGACAATCTGTGCAGTTCAAACTCGTGTTGTTCAAGGGTCAACTGTAATGTCAAGTGTACCTTCTCCTCAAAGTAGATAACCCAGAGAAGAGTCTTTTAACATGAGAGCCTATCCCCCCACTACACAGGGTGGGTCACCAGCTGCTCCATAATAGCAACATTATGTCCTAACCAGCAAGTTAGGACAAGAGAATAAAACCACCATATCCAATTGAAGCTTCAAGGAAACGCAAGGTAATAATGATGATTATATTCACATGTGGATAAAAGAGCATGAATTACATTATCTCCAAAGTTTTTTTGAGAGCATTGTGTGCTAAGTTATATGTTGTCTTCTATATTAGGCCATGCATGGAGATAAAAAAGCCATATAACTCCCCCCTCAAGTTTCGAAGACAGGTATTCCCCTTTGAGAGAGTTGTTGTAGTGATAATAGTTTTGGAATGAGTGTGTAACTGTCTTACATATTGACTTTAGATTCATATGTCTTAGTTGTAGGGACTGCCATTTATTTCCCTTCCATATGTAGTCAGAGGCCAATAGGCACTTAATAAATAAGAAGTAAAAATTACTATCTTCCTAAGCTTTTCCAACATTATTTGATAAGTTCATTTTTTGGTCATAAACTATTTTGCTTCCCATTATATCTCATGATTAATACTAAGTATGAATTCGTGTGAAAAACATTTTGATAGTTCTTAAACAGATGCCATTTAGTCTCTTGGGATTCACCCCGATAAAGAGGTATTTTCTTAGCTCTCCCTACTTTATTTACTATTATTTTTGAAGTTGCCTGCTCTGTCCTATCCTTAAGGTGATATTCTTTTACAAATTGTGTATAACCCTTGGGGGAAAAATATACTTTCCTTCTTCCTCTGATCACTGCCCCATAATAATTAGTCCATTCTTCCAGATCCTCTGTCTTATGGGCTGCTTGTTCTATTGTATGGTGTAGATTTCTGTTTCATCTTGGGGGTCATTTCTCTAACCCGATCCTTTAGCTATCAGCTGCAAAGACTCTTGCATATACCTACTAAACTGCTTCAAAAGGAGTCTGGTTCTGCTGGCCCAAGTACTGACCTTGACCCTCTCCCCAGTCCTGAATAGTCCTGGAAACTCAGTGTCCTCAGCACCTAATTCATGCTGATCCTCTGACTTTCTTGCTTGGCCTCTGGAGAGAGAGAGCACATTCTGAACACTCCTCCTTTTGTGTCGGCGTCTCTGTGAGGTGCTTTGGAAGGACTCCAGCCAGGCATGGAAGGGCTCTTTGATAATATCTGATGGGTGGGTAAGAATTTCAGGCACCTGGCCAAGATACACATTGCCTGTAATCGTTAACTCAGCCTGTAAACAGTTCAAACGGCACTGAGAGGCCGTCAGTTATTACATTAGAAGAAGTCTTTCATCTCTCTTGCTCAGAAGCCAGGGCGTCCAGCATTGGCCCCCACTGTAGTAATTGGAGCCACAGTAGTCTGTGCACAGCCACCAAAGCCCAAGACATGCAGGGACACACAATGGAACCTGCTCCGAATGACTGACTTTCAAACTTTCAGCATTAGAGCAATAACTAAATCATTAATTTCCTTTTGTTCTGCACCTGGCTGATGCTGGAAGGGAAGAAGTGTATTGGGTAGTGGGGAATGGGGGTGGCAGTGGAGAGGTGGGATCCCTGACCAGGAATAAATAGTAGCAAAGGAATTATCTTCTGGAACTGGAAATTTAATTTTTCAGCTCAATTTTCCAGCACACACTCGTGTCTGAAACTTCACCCCTCACCCTTTTTATTTGTCCCTCTGCTTCACATTGATCTTTCTAAGTTTGGTCCTCAGTGTACTCCATATCTCCAGTTGGCCTCACAATTACTCAGTATTACTAAACCCTCGTGCAAGGCACAGTGCTGGGCCCCAGAGAGAGCCTAGAGCAGCATAAGATAACAAACATTCCTGCCCTCAAGGTGCTTACTAATGGCGTCCTTCAGATACTCTAGATATATACTAGAGAACTCTACCTTGAGAGTTTACAATACATGCTAAATAAGGTATGCAGTGAGTTTCTGCAGGAGTTTACACTGAGAACAGCAGTGTGGACAGCAGTGATCAGAGAAACTCCATTCCATGAAAAACAAAAGTTTCAATCCTTTGTTTAAAATTTGCTTCTTTTCTTTTATGTCTCTCACCCATTTTCTTTTGCCTTTTTCATTAAGTTGCTACTTTGGCTATACAATATTGAGTATTCTAGGCACTTAGTAAATGGGATCATTAAACCTTTGTTAGAATTAGCTGAGGAGCTAGAATTTGAGTATTCTGGTATCAAAGGATGGTGCAGGAAAACCAAGTACAACTTATTATAAGCATCTTAATTTCAGAAGACCTTTTCTGATTACTATTTCTAAAGATGTTCAGATAGTTGTAAGGCCCCTGTTGCTGAAACAGTTTAGATTAGGCCACAGGTTTTAAACTGCAGGTAAAATAAAATCCTACACTCACCAGTGTTCAAGGTGAGCATCAAAGTTCCAGGTTTTACCCTTTATACCAGAATCCCAAGTGTAAAGCAGCTAGACTCTTTTCCTCTACAAAACAATATTTGAACATTTGCCTCACTGTTTTCAACTAAAGAAAAATGATAGGGCCATGAGACATTCTTCTAGAATTTTTTTTTTTAAAAAGGATCTGCCTTATGTAACTTGCCTGGTGCCCATATAACTTATTACTTAGAAAGCTCTGATCTCATGCCTTCTGTTTTCTTTGTTTTGTATTCCATTTTGCTCAGCTTTTGGGGCACCCTTTCATTCCATTTACATATTTTGGATTTGGGGTTTGTCTCATTCCCAACATCCATGTTTTCTTGGCTGATTCTGAATGTAGCTTTGGAGGAGCATGGATAAAATAAGAGTACAGAGCTTGAGGACATGCCACCCTGCAGCCCATGATGTGTTCTGCTTCTGATTTATCAACTGCAGAGATAAGCAGTATATTCCTTTCTTTCATCTAAGACGAGTAATACTTTCTTCCATGGGAAAAGCAGTAGTTTTATCTTAAAAAGAAATTAGGTCCTTTGGAAGAATTGACGCACTAAAGCAAACGAAATTAAGTTTCGTTACCATTGTGCCCAACATTGTTATTTGTTCATGGTAAATAGGAGGGTAGTTATTTGAAAGCATGTGTTAGGTCATATTTATGTAGTAGAATTGTAGAAATACCGCATTTATAAGATGAAAGAAAGCTTTGAAGCTTCTGCAGATGTTTCGGAGCCACTCAATTCAATGTCCTGGTTAATACTGAAATTATGCAAATTTAATACGATGGGGAAATAAGGGAGGAAGTTTCCCTGTTATTCTACCTGAATGTAGAGTCTACCTTTTGGGAAATGACCAGTTTTGCATATTGGCCTCCTACTCTGGTGGTTTTCAGTCTACAGGTAGATAGTAAGGAAACTACCTAGGATTGTTTTGGTCCCTCTTGATCAATGGTTAGCAAATTTTGGCTTATATCAGAGTCAGTTTTAGAAAGGTTGTCCCTCAAACTTCAGTTCCTACTTCAAACCGCCTTTAAAATTTAAGTGTTCATCTCTCCTTCAGTATATCAAGACTGACTTAAATTTTCCCTACTCAAAACTAACTGCTTTTTCCAATTTCCCCATTTTGTTAATGCAACATCTTTTCTCCCAATTCTCCAGGTTTAGAACTTTTAACTCCTCCATTTCCTTCATCCTTGTACTACAATCTCTCAAATACTTTCAACACTTCCTTCATAATTTCTTTGATTCATTCCTCCTTTTAACTATTACTACCAGAGTTCAAGTTCTCATCATGCCAGTACTAGATTACTGGAACACTTCTCTAATTGATTTTCCTACCACTAGTTTTCTCTTCATGGCACTATTTTACTCTGCTACTAAATTGTTCTGCTTACAGTATTGTTTTGATCATGAGATACCCTTAAGAACTTAGGAGTATTCCTTTTTTGCATATGAGAGCAAGTGCTGACTCTCATCTTGGCATGCAGTAGCCTTTGTAATTTGATCCTACCTCAGCTATCCAAACTATCTTTGCAGATCTATTTTTTTCAGTCAGACAAGTCTTCCTGTACCTTGAAGACTTGAGAGAAACTGCTCAAGAACCTTACTTTTTCTCTCACCTGGCTCCTGGTTTCTTCTCAAGTAAGCTCATTTCAAAAAATCCATTTGACAGATGCCAATGGACTGGATCCTGTGGCTACTTTTGTCCTGTGCAAATTCTGTCCTCTTTAAAGGAGAGCTTAATATCCATATCCTTGACGAATCCTGTAGGACTTATTTGGCTGTACCACACAATGTGGCCCTTGATACAACATTTTGTATCACCATTTACTTTGTGTATATGTTATCTTCCTAGTAAGACTGTACCTCCTGGGTTGGACCTAACAGTTTTGGGAACAAGATTGGTGCTCATCAAATACTTCCCAAGTAAGAGGCCATATTTCAGATCCATTCTGATGTATGTATGAGGGAAATCTCTGTGCATCCCCATCCAGCACTGTACTCAGTGATCACAAGAAGTGAGTCTTCGTTTCTTGACAATGATCACTTGGGAGCCATTGATCTGCCCTGTCACAAAGGGTTTGGGGGAAACTGTAGTGGCTGTCATTTTAGCGAGAAAGATGGCTCCAGAAACAGGTCTGATAATACCCAGACAAGGAATCAACTTAGTGACAGACAGCAACTCTAGTAGTTAGGTATTTATTTGGCTAGGAAAGGGGCTTAGCCTCTGAAGTATTTCAGATAGCTGTTGGCTTAGCAATTATATATGCTGCTACTTTCTGAGGTAAGCCTGCCTAAAAACAAAAGTATGGCCTGATGACTGGGTGGTTACTCCTGTACCCTAAGAACTCATTTATAGGCATCTGCACAGAGGTACCCACCCGAACAAACATTAAGAAGAAGCAAAGGAAAGTGCCTGAAGCATAGTCACTGTGTCAACAGAAATATCAGATAAGGTGGTTTTTATGGAGGGGGTGTGTGTGGTCGGGGGAAGAGTTGATGCACCTGTGGTTGGTGATTAAGAAACTTGGTGCCACATTATATGGCACTATGAAGCCACCTTATGTCCCAGCCACTCCATGGTGGCTGATGTAATATAATTACCCATTTGCTAACCAGGCCAAGAGGAAATGTATTGGATAAAAGCCAGAGTAAGATCGTTATATCTTAGCTGAGCCATTCAGACTATTCAGAACTTTTTGGATCTCCTTTTGTTTCCAGTGAGGGCCTTGTAGTTGTTAATCTAATAGTAGTTGATTTTTATAGGTGTCTTGTACTTTGGTTTTTTTGTTTTGTTTTGTTTATTTGTTTTTTGGAGACAGAGTCTTGCCCTGTCACCCAGGCTGGAGTGCAGTGGTGCATGATCTTGGATCACTGCAACCTCCACCTCCCAGGTTCAAGAGACTCTCCTGATCTCCTGCCTCAGCCTCCCAAGTACCTGGGATTACAGGTGCCCGCCATCATGCCTGGCTAATTTTTGTATTTTTAGTAGAGATGGGATTTCACCATGTTGGCCAGGCTGGTCTGAAACTCCTGACTTCAAGTGATCTGCCTGCCTTGGCCTCCCAAAATGCTGGGATTATAGGCATGAGCCACCATGCCCAGCCAGGTGTCATGCACTTTGATGTACCCATTCCTAAGACAACTGTGTTCTCATGTAAATGTATTCAGATGAGTTCCCATGGCTCGCACAAGCTGCCAAATTATGGTATCTCCTCAAGCAGGAACAGGGTACAGACAATTCCATTTGGCTGAACTAGGACTGGACTTAACCCCAGACTGACTCAGCTTCTCTGTTAACATTGTTTGAAATTCTGATATCCCTCCAGAGGTTGTTTATAAAGAGTGCTTAGTGTGAAGTAAGAACCACAAAGAAATGGAGCAAAATGGACCTGAGAGACCAAAACCTCTCATTTTCAATATTAATTTAGCACACATTTATTGATTACCTTTTATGTTAGAGCATTGTGCTATGTGGGATTATAAAGAAACCCCTGCCCTCAATTTAGTAAGTAAGAGTATAGGCCAGGCATGGTGGCTCACACCTGTAATCTCAGCACTTTGGGAGGGCAAGGCAGGAAGATCACTTGAGGCCAGAAGTTTGAGACCAGTCTGGTCAACATAACAAGACTCTACCTCTATTTATTAAAAAAAGAAAATATGAAGCAGAGGGTGACAATTACCATACATAGATACAAACAGGATGTTTGGGGCATTTCAGATGAAGAGGAAGAGATTGTTCGTGGAAGAGGTAAGCAGATGAACTTGCCCTTGAAGGGCATACAGGATTTTAATAAGCCACAGAACAGGAATAATAGGTATTCCAAAAGAATGTGAGAGAATAGTGAGAAATTCAGTTTGATTTCACAAGTAGTATGGTGCATTGGGGAGGGGGTGGGGATGAAACTGAAAAGGTAGAGGAGAAGGGAAGGAGCACATACTTGTGAGTGATTACTATGTGCAGGAAGTCCTGGCACTTTAAATATGTTACTTCATTTTATCTCTGCAATGATCTTCTTGGATGGTGTTTTTTGTTGTTGTTGTTTGTTTTTAGAGACAGGGTCTTGCACAGGCTGGAGTGCAGTGGCACAGTCATAGATCGCTGCAGCCTTGACCTCCTGAGTAGCTGGTACTACAGGCATGTGCCAGCATGCCCAGCTGATATTTTTTAAAATTTGTTGTAGAGATGGGGTCTTGCTATGTTTCCCAGGTTAGTCTTGAACTTCTGGCCTCAAGCAATTCACACATTTTGGCCTCCCAAAGTTCTGGGATTACAAGCATGAGCCACCATGCCCAGCCTCCATTTTTAAAAGGAGACTTAGAGAGGTTAGGTTACCCACAGCTTGTAAGTGATAGAGTTGAAAGGTAAAATCGACTTGAAATTTAATACCAAGTTGTCTGATTCCAGAGTCAGTACACAGCACTGAAGCCTTGATTTGATAGGCTATGGAGTTTGAATTTAATTCAGAAGACAGTGGACAGCCATTGATAGTATTTGAACAGGGCAATGATAGGATCAGCGCTATGTTTAGGAAGATTGTTCTTGAAATGATAGAGAGCTTTAGAATGGTGAGTGACTAAAGACTAGTTAGAAGTCTGTTGTAATGGTTCCAACTCCAGAGACATAGAAAAGGTAGGTATCCAAAGACTAGTGATGGCTTAGTCTTTGCAATTACTAGGAGGAGGAATCATAATGACTATGAGGTGCTCAGCCCAAGTCTCTAGGAAAATGATGGTGTCGCTAACTGATATACGTAAGTTAAAGCAGGTTATTGGCTTAGGGCAGAGTGCAGGGAGAATGTGATATTTAGGTTTGGTATATTTAAGTTTGAGGTATCAGTATGACTACAGAGAAATAATGTCTAACAAACATTTTGAAGTACAGAAGATTTGACTTCAGAAACCAATTTGGGAATTATAATTAAAGATACTGGAGTTAATAAAAACCTCAGAAGAGAGATAATAGAGATCAGAGAATACATCTTTAGGAAACATACATAAATGAGAGGGAGAAGAAAAGAAGAGGGAGAAGAAAAGAGGAAGAGGCAACAAATGAGGACAATCAGAGAAGTGGAAGAACTAGAACAGTATTATGTCATGAGCAACACGTGAAGAGTCAAACTGTAATCACTGGGTCAGAAGTAATTTAGGGCTATTTGTCTTGCTGTAGCCTCGATCCCTTTCTTAGGAAACAACTGACACCATTACGTTCAAACACATTCGTTTTTCTATTTCAACTCTGTTAGGGAGGAAATTCAGCAATCAGGAAAGAAAACTGTTTTCCTGTTAAAGATGTGTTTGGTGGTCACATTTTTCACTTAAGCTAGTGAGAGCTGTCAGCAAAATACAGTGCCATTTTGAAGTATTTCACTATGTCATTGGAGGTTTAGTTCCCAAGAAAGCTCTTGTAGTGTCCGTGCTTCTGCCCTTTTGCTCTGAGCTTCTTCCTGTGATTTGTCAAGTCTCCCTTCATTAGATTTAGAACCTGAAGTTGATGCCCAGAACTCAGGTCCCAAGCCCAATATGCATTGCATTGTCTCTTCAAGACTTAGTTACCTAATTTGCAAAATGGATGGTACTAATAAAGGGAGAATAAAATAGCTAATGAAGGATGATAAAGCACTTTGCTAATATAAAATGCAACATCAAAGCTGAATAATAATCTTAATTTAGGGTGAAGGGTTCCATTAGCAGAGTAAAAATAAAAAGGACAAAGTGTAGTGTTGCTTTGTACCTTGATAACAGTATATAAATCAAAAGTGCTGCTGTTGATCTTCATTGCCCTGTGAACTCTCAACCCAGGAATTTGGCTCCCCTCCCTAACTGTCTAAGTACTTCCCTTGCCCACTCAGTCTGTTGATGGCACCTCCCTGAATCTCCTGACAAATACAAACAGGAAATTCTCTTCAGCAGAGCCAGCTTGCTAACTGTGAAGATTCCTTTTCCATTTATCAGCACTTAGATTATCTTTTTGTGTCTCTTACTATTTGTGCCTAGCAAGAAAAAGAGGTTTGAACAATTAAGAGGTAACAAAGAGCTCATAGTTCACAAAGAGCAAGTCAAGGGATGTCTGGAATATTTGAACATACAACTGCCTTTAGCGTGAGGTGGCCTACATGCATTCTCAGGGTCAGAGTAGGCTGGAGAGCTGATCAAGCTGCCAGGAAGCTGAAGCAAAGGCAGGGTGGTGGAATCAAATGTTTCTTCAACTGAAGTCTTTAAAACTTGGGCTTCAGCCAGCCACAGTAACTCACACCTCAAATCCCAGCACTTTAGGAGGTTGAGGCGCGTGGATCACTTGAGGTCAGGAGTTCAAGACCAGCCTGACCAACATGGTGAAACCCCATCTCTACTAAAAATACAAAAATTAGCTGGGCATGGTGGTGAGTGCCTGCATACCCATCTCCCAGCTACTAAGGAGGCTGAGGCAGGAGAATCGCTTGAATGTGGGAGGCAGAGATTGCAGTGAGCTGAGATCACGCCATTGCACTCCAGCATGGGCAACAAAAACTCTGTCTCAAAACAAAAAAACTTGGTCTTCAGCTGGGTGCAGTGACTCATGCCTGTAGTCCCAGCCCTTTGGGAAGCTGTGGCAGGAGGATCACTTGAGGCCAGAATTTTGAGACCAGCCTGAGCAAGATAGGGAGACCCTGTCTCTACCAAAAACAGAAATCTAAAAAATTAGCCAGGATTGGCGGTGTGCTCCTGTAGTCTCAGCCACTCGTGGGGCTGAGATGTGATCCTCCTGGGATTGGGGCTGGGAGGTCCAGGCTGCAGTGAGCCATGATTACACCACCACACTCCAGCATGGGTGACAGAGTGAGATCCTGTCTCAAAAACAAAGAAAAACAAAAAACTTGGGCTTCAGATACATCCCCTTTTCAAGGAATAAAGGATGGAGAAAAAAATGTAATTTGTCTTTCATCCCACCAAAGGTAAGAAAAATCCACTCAGAAAAACTATGGAATATTATTGGGAGTGAACTGACTCTAAGTTTTCCCAGAACTTTTCTGAGCAGATCTCTGGGCTGAGTCCTCATAAAATTTTGGTAGGGACTGAAGTTCATTGCAGACAGCTGACACTATGGCCTGAAGCCAGTGGAGAACAAGAGTTTCTCTCTGTCAATAATGCAGGGATTTTTTAAAAAAAATTGTTTGTAATAGTCTCTAAATGGCTTCTCTCAAAAAATAACTTCTCATTAAATTTGGGAGAGAGACTGAAGGGCCCAAAATGACAAGAGAGTACTTATAAAGCAATACAGCAAGAGCAAAGTCGTCCACCCATTCATTCCACATTCCCCCAGTCTTTACGTGCTGTGCTCTGTGTATTCCCATGCCCTGTATGTTGTTTGATGAATGGCGTTAAGACCCTGTGCATTGAGCATGTGTATACACTGCTGTAGCCTACAGTCAGGTGTTACTCGCCTGAGAACAGGATTCATTCCTCTGGGGTGGGAGGCTGTTGCTTTCATCCCCATTCAGGGTTATGCATAACTCAGCAGCACATTGATATTGAGAGGAGACAATAGAAGAGTAACAGGCTGCGTTATTCAACAGGAAGATTCTCTGAAAAGAAGTGAGTTTTTTTCAGGGTTGTGGAGGAGATCTGGGCATGATAGTGAAAAGGAAAAAAGAGAACTCTGCCTTGTGATGAAGTCAAGATATGCTAAAGATGACTTTGAAACTGAAACTTACAGGGAGTATACAGAAAGTTTCTGAAGAGAAAGCAGAACTCTGAAAATAATCATATCCTGATAAAATGACAAGGCAACCACCAGATTTATTTTACCTCACATCTGTTTATTAAAGCAGATGATTCAACATGCATTTTTCTTAGCATCTACTGTGTGCATGGCATTATATAAGTGATGAATAAGACCTAGTCCCTGACCTCAAGGAGCTCAGATTCTACTTTGCAGGGAGGAGGAAAGAACTAATGTTTTATTGAACTAAGAACCAGGCATTCTGCTGGAGGAAATAGGTAAGAGGGTGGGTCACAACAGAGCACTGACCCACAGTAAGAGGTAAGTGTCATTTAAGAATTTTGAATAAATGGCTTTAAGGGAACATATGAGGGAAAGTGTTTAATATTGGGGACTGAGGGCTGGTCAAAGGATTAGAGAAGGGCTAAATTTGGACTGGGATGGGGAGTCAAGGGTAAAAAGAAGTAGAGAGCTATAGGATTGGAGTTCTCAAGAGTCTTTGGCTCACAGAGGATAGAAGAGGTACCTTTTTTTTTTTTTCTCTATAGAACCAAGAAAATAGGGAAATGTCCACGGGAAGAGAAAAAATAAAGAATTTGGCAGATAACCAAACTATCTTCCCATGATACATTTTCTGTAAAAGACTTCTTAGGAGCTAAGAGTGTTTTTCTGTCTTCATTCTCTTTAATGCCTAGAATTCTGCCATAAAATGCTATTTATGTATCTTACTTTTTAGTTCCTAGGAGTGCAAGAGATGCTAATATTAGGAATTTCTAAAGTATTCAGAGGATGGAAATACCAGCCGGCAGCAATGCTGAGATATCCAGGCACCATTCATAGCGACCCAGTGAAATGCTGAGCCCCAAATGGCAATCCCTCTCAGGCTTTCCCAGAGCCATCTCACTTTTTCTTTTATCCCCTGCCTGGAAGGCTATGCTGTGGGTGGGAATAAAAATCCACTCTCCTGTTGCATCTAGGCAGCTGCCAGCTGTCTGTTTGCCTTGTTCTTTGCTGGCAAATCATTAAACAGTCCCCCCAAAGCAGGCCTCTTCCCTAGGGTCACCCCATGGACAGAGATTCAGAGCTGTGGTCAAAGGGCTGTCAGCAGGCAGGCTGGAGCCCTTGGGCTATCTCCAACACAAGCCCTTCCTGGCTGCTGCCTCTTCTGAACAGAAGCCTCCTTGGCCTAATGTCAACCCCCCAATGGCTTCTGAGGAGAGACTCTGGGCATCTGAGTTGGCTGGCGGTTTGAATAATTTTATTCTTTTCCTCCTGAAGTAATTTCTCAGTGCAACTACCCCCATGATGTCTTTATTGTTTCTTTATTGAAGCCCAGGCCCATCCTCCACATTTTTTCCACTTTGCAGTATAAATACAATATTGTGTGTTACTGCCCAGGAGCTGGGGACTGGGACCAGCCGAGCAAACTTCAGAGTTTCATCCCATCCCCACTTACATTGTGCCAATGCAAATCTGAGTGTAAGATTTCACTGAGCCAGTCCAGTTGGAGATAGTATCTGCCCTCAAAGGGCTTATAAGCTCCAGGGCTTGCAGGTTGTGGAAGACAGTAGAATGGAGCAAAGTTTGCAGGATACCTTAAAATCCCTATAGCCTCTGAGCAGGAGACTAAACCTAAAAGACCTGGAATATGTGTGAAGTAACCATGTTAATGAAGCTATTTCCCACTCTTGCAATGAAATCACCAAACTTAGCAATGCTCAAGTAGCTCTGCTGGTAGTCCAGATGGGCCTCTGGCATGTTTAAACAAATGATCTGGTTTCCGTAAGTTTCATTTCTTTGGTGTTTTTCACAGGGACTGTCTGGCTTTAGTCTTTGGCTTTTTGAGCATTGAAATCTTAACCTAAATAATTACTAAAAAATAAACACTATCTGCTTCTAGTAGGTTGTCAGATTCCTGCCATCTCTGGCATGAGTTTGGCTGAAACAGGAACAGCAAAATCATAAAGCAGACTGTATCAAGGCTGTTTGCAAGTAGCACATTGGGTTAGGTGTGAGAGTTCAGTTAACTACTTTGTTGTGGCAATAGTAAAGGCCATCTGTCAGAAGCACACTAGACAAAGCCTCTACAGACCCTTCTCCTGAACATGTGGGAATTAGGTATTACCCCTAGCAATACTTGCCATCTGTGTCAAGACCTCGGCCTTTCTGCAGAGGACTTCTTTGGATAAGACCTAGCTAAACAAGGGGCCTCAGTGGTACTCCCTAAAAGATGGAGGTCAGTGAGAGTGGCAAGATCTTTCCTGGGACAGTGGTCAGAACTCAGCTGACTTTCCAGGACTAATTAGTATGATTTTTGAATGGTTGAGCCCTGAGTTCCTCACCTAGTGGAGAAAAGGAGTCCAGAACACCTGACTGGGTTATCTTTTGAGGTCTTGATCTTCATAGGCCTCAGAACTTGGTCTTCTATTTCATGGCCTTGCTTCTAAAGATCCCTGATGTAACTAAAATGATATTTGATGGGCTCCCTCTTCTTTGCTCCTAACTTCATGAGTAACTTCCTAGTGCCTTTGTAGTTGGAGGTCATTCTGACTGAGTCAGGACAAACCCTGTTTCTGTGTGAGAATATAACGGTATAAAAGCTCTACTTCTTGGGTGGCTGGGATTTTTTTTGCCTCCTCTCTGACTACTGCCCAAAAGGCTTTGGCTCATGCCTGTAATCCCATTACTTTGGGAGGCTGAGGTGGGCGGATCATGAGGTCAGGAGTTTGAGACCAGCTTGGCCAACATGGTGAAACCTTGTCTCTACTAAAAATACAAAAATTAGCCAGGCATGGTGTCAGGTGCCTGTAATTCCAGCTACTCGGGAGGCTGAGGCAGAAGAATCGATTGAGCCCGGAAGGCAGAGGTTGCAGTGAGCTGAGATCATGTCATTGCACTCTAGCCTAAATGACAGAGTGAAACTCTGTCTCAAAAAAAAAAAAACAAACAAACAAACATAAAAACCTTTCTTCTCTGATATCACTTTATTTCAAAAGCAGCTCAGATAATTAGCTCTTCTTCTACTTACCTTCTTCCACTTGCTTATGAGTGCACTTATGACCTGTGAATCGCCATACAAAGATGCCAGGCAGAGTGTGGGATCAGGAAAATGGGGGCCATTTTCATGTAAAAAAGTCCAGTGGCATCATGGAGCACCAGCACAGTCTAAGATGAGGACAGGTGGATTTAGAAATTGAAGAATGGCATCTGTAACATGGGGTGAGGGAGTGAGGAAAATGGCCATCTGGCTGAATGACCATTATTTGAGTCTGAGCTTCTCTGACCTCTAATTTCAGGACACACCTTTTTCATCCTAAAGCAACAGGGACTTTTCACTGGGAAAGTGTCTCTGAGCAGCGTCTGGGTCTGGCTGCCTTTGTTGTGTCTAGGAGAGGAGATGAGATAAACCTGGAGGAGAGGAAGGAAGCCGAGGCTAGTAGGCAGAGCGCAGAGAACAGATCCTGCTTCTGTCTTGTTAAGAATGATTCAAGTTTGAAAATTCTATAAATGGGGACTCTGAAGCTTTCCACCATGATCCCAGACATTTATTACAGTATTCATCTAATGTTTATCATGCACAGAACACCATCCCAGGGTGCATACCTGGAGGCACTGTGACGGAGTAGACGGGGACTGGGGACCTCAACCTCCTTTAACTAGGTGTTAACTAGCTTAACTAACTTTAACTAGGTGGGCAATCTGTAACTTGAGTCTTGCTTTCTTCATCTGTAAAAGGCAAATTTTCAAAGTCCATTATGGGTGTAAACCAGGCTAAACTGTTAGTAATTCACTTCTCTTTTATAAACTACATGGCAACTGGATTCAAATCAAGTTTTATTCTTTCTTTCACCAAACGCTAAGGGCCTATGATATGCAGAGCCCCAAACTGGAGTTTCAGTGAGCTCAGTTTTTCCCTCATATTTTGCCACCGTGCTTCCTATTAGATTCTGGAATATCATTTCACTTCTATCTTGTCAGATTTCTTGCTCACCAGCACCCCCTGTACCCCGAGGCAGGTTTCCTGAATCAAGTGAGAAATCATGGAGGCTTCTTCATCCATCCCCTGCTAGTGTCCACTACCATCAGATGGCCCAAGGTTATGCTTCTCTCTCCCCACCAACATTATTTTGTTTTGTAGCTTAAAAAATTACACGATGAAGCAGGAATACACCTTGCTGGTAAAATAGATTTTAAAAAGTAGACAGCACACCTGTAATCCCAGCACTTTGGGAGACTGAGGGGGTGGATCACTTGAGCCCAGGAGTTCAAGGCCATGGGCAATATGTTGAAACCTTGTCTCTTAGCCAGCTGGTGAGGCACACCTGTAGTCCCAGCACTTTGGGAGGCTGAGGCAGGAGGATTGCTTGAGCACAGGAGGTTGAGGCTGCAGTGAGCTGAGACTGTGCCACCACACTCCAGCCTGGGTGACAGAGCAAGACTATGTCTCAAAAATAAAATAAACTCCTCTTGACAATTCCCCAGCCTCCTAACTTGATACATGGAAACTCAGTTACCCAAAGAGATAGTGACAAGTTTATGTAAGGTTTCAAAAGAGGTCTTGAGATTCCCAAATCTAAGCCTGAACGATCGCCATTAGGATCTAACCTGTAGATGTGAGCTTCATTCACATTGGCAAGGTGACCAAGCTGGGCCTCAGTGGCAGGGCTATTCTGGTCCCAGGATCTGGAAGCAGCAACTTCAGGCTAATCTATTTTCTTTCCCACCCCCCTATCTGCAGAAGCTTTACTTTGTGATGCCGGTGTGTCCTCCTACCTGAGATAAAAGTTCAGGTAATGGAGGTTGCGCAGGAAAGGGTGATTGTAAAATCTGAAAAGAGGAAATGGGGAGAAGGATGCCTTTTATGTCTGGCCAATGTTCCTGTTTACAAAGGCAAAATTGTAGCAAGCAGTAAAGTTACCTGTCCAAGGCCTGGGTGAATGTCTGTACATGGAATCAGAGAACTAAGAGATGATTGCAGCAGAGGTGGGGGATGGAGAGTGCCTGGAAAACAGGAGACAGTGAAGAATTGCTTGCAGAAGGACACACCAAAGGGGAGGAGATGCCATGGATAAGGGAAGACCAGCATTAAGTTCCAGGCTCAGTTGAGCCCTGGAATGCCCTTTGTAAGGAGGTAATAAGATCACATGGCTTCCTTCATGAGAAGGAGGCAGACTGAGAACTGGAAGAGCTTGTTCAGTGGGGTTTGGAAGGCTGAGAACAAAAAGGAAGTGACTGGATAATGAGCTGCCCTAGACTGTACCTTGCAGAACACTAGCATTTAGAGGCACTGTTGATTCCCAAAGAAGGAGGAGGTTAGAAAGGGCATTATTTCTTCCAGGAATAAGAAGGGACTTTATTATTACAGATGCAGTAATAAAAACAGCTGCCATTAAGTGAGCACTTACTAAGTGTCAGGCTCTGTGCTAGGCACTTATAACCATTATCTCCAGTCTCCACGGAAGCATTTTTGTTTCCATTCCAAAGATGAGCAATATAAGGCTCAGAAAGGTTAAGTAACATGCCCAAGGTCACACAGGTAAATGATGGGGTCAGAATTTGAACCCTAGGTCTGTCTTGGGAGGGAGGGGGGAACATCAGAACAAATAAGGAGGACAGAGGGAGAATAGACTCAGGAACATGAAATACAACATATACCAACAAAGGACAGACAGTTCTCATATCTTTACACAGGGGTGTAAAATATATATGCAAAGCTGAATTCTGAGTCACAATGACCTGACTCGTGCTTGAAAGCAAGTGCCTCTTAATTTGCCCCTCATGGTAGCCTAAGGGACTAGGGGCATTCTAACTCCTGGCCTTTGAGAAAGTCAGACTACCAAACCTCAACCTCACCAAGTTTCTCGGAGCCCTCCACAACCACACCCTTCTCAAATCAGGCAAGCTCATTTCTCCTGATCCTCACTTGGTGTCATTGAGGGGACAGGTGGCCTAGTATAGAAATCACATTTACATCTTCATGATTAGGAGACCTTGGATTCCAAGGAGACAGATGTATTTGCATCTGTTTTCTCAAGAGCCCTCCTCCTGGCTGAAAATTCCCTGGAGCTTCCTGTGTTATATCCAAGGAATGCTGATGCTGCCTTGCTAGGTACTGAACTGAGTTCTAGTTCAAAAGGCAATTTTTTGTTTTCAATTTGAGAATACTTGAAAAGCTCGCATTGTAAAAGAGTCAAACCATACAAAAGTATTATGAGTGTGGTTGTCATGCCACAGATATGATTGTACTAGAAAGATCATGTTACTTTATCTTTTTTAATCAAATCTAACCTCAAGGTCCTGTCCCATTAGGGGCATAGATATTTGTTTTCAAGGGCACTTCTCCTCACAGAGTAGCACAAAAGTCCCAGGGTTTTATGAAAACTAAGATATCTAAGGGACCCCTCTGACATGTGTCCATGCTGGCCACCACAGATACGTTCCTTGTCCAAGCACAGGCATTCCCTTGAAATCCACTCAGGTACATCATCTCTCCAAGGGGCCAGCCTCCTGGGTCTAGTGCTCTGTCCTTCTTCAGGGACCCACCCCTTCTGGGGCACAGGCTGCAGCTTCCCACTACTCAGCACAGCTCCACACCCCTCCTTCTTGCCCTCCCGATTATGAGACTTTGACTCCTCCCCTCACCCCATGCGCTTCTGCCTTTGGGACACTCACACTTCCACAGTGAATTCAGTTGTTCTGCAAAAGCCAGGAAGGGAGGTCTTTGAACAACATTGGCTTTTGGCAAATGCCCCTGAAGCAAGGAAATAGAAGGTGAAGCCATC